CTGTCTGTCAGGTAGACCATGAACTATGGTAACTATGCAGGGTTGCTTATCATGCTGTGTGAACACAGCCACTGTTTTATCATGATAGTTTTGTTCAATGCATTACTATGGATTTGCTCTTATATTCACTGTTGTGAGTTGTTTTAAGTTCTTTTCAGAAAAAGTAGAATACCCATTTTTAAAACAAACAAAGCAAAATGAAAATAAATGGAGGGCAGAGGAATGGTGGGGAAGCAACACCTGGGAAATGATCTGTGCAAAGAGGTAGTGAGAAAGAGTTGGCAGGCAGAGAAAAAGTTAAGTATTCCCATCCATCTGTCAATCCCGCTCCAGAAATGTTCCCCTCCTACACAGGCACATTGGAAGGATCCAACAGGATATTACCACTAGAGGAAGCCATCACATGCACCATGGCAACAGTGCTTGTGAAGACAACAGGTCAAGCTAGTTACTGACACTGCACATGCATTAGTTTCCATGAGTGCAACCTGAATAGCACTAGCAGCAGCGGCCTGTTGGATCTTCCCATTGGCTTGAGAAGGCAAAGTTGCATTTGGGAATCTCCAATGCCCTCCAGCTTCAGAAAGAGCACACTATCTGTAGGATGCAGTTTTTAAAATAATGGATACAGCTTTTCTCTGTGATATGTGAATACCTGTGACTGTATTTTCCTTGTCTGTTCTTTCTTTCCCTAAGGGTACTTGCAGACATGCATTTTTGGATGCGAGCAGTGCCACAGGAATTAAGATATTTAACAAAATGCAACAGTAAGCAGCTGACCCCTTTGGAGGAATGAGTAAAATGAGGAGAGCACAGTTATTTCTGACTGTCTTCCTCTTCAAACGGCACCATCCCTTACAAGCACATTTGGATCTTTTCTCCTCAAAAGTCAAGTACACATAGGCACATTTTTTTTTGGGAACAGGTTGGTTTTGCTAACATTCCTTCAATATCCTTCTCTGGATTACTCTGTGTTTATTTATACCATAAAAGTGAGATGGTGGCACAGAAGGCAGATGTAGGCAAGGGTGAGAAGACATAGTCTAGTTGCCACCTTCTACTGAGGAGAATATAAAATGCTAGAAGCCAGTCTTTGTGCTCCCCAGAGCAATATTCACGTAAAATATTAAAAGGAAGCACAAATACTAAAAAAATCATATGTTCAAAAAGTGCATTTCAGAATAAGATAACAGGATTCCAAATTTACTACATTAGTTCTTGTTCAGCATTTTTCCTTCTCCCACTTTACCAATCAATCATGCACAATTCTCCCTGTCCTTAAGCCCTGTGCTATTTCCCCACCGTTTCTCTCTTGTTAGCCCATCTGTTTTCAGCACACTTTATACTCTGGCCTTTTTGTACACTCTTCCCTGTGTTGGTCAAGTCTCACCTGCTTTCCCACATCCCTGCTGTTATCTCCATGGAACAAGCCCCACCCACTAAAAGAACCTCAGAAGACATTGTGGGCCAAATGTAGACCTTCAGAGAAGGCACTCCCTTGGGCCATTACCCCTCTGACTCCAGGGTCCCTGTCTTGCATGCCACTGCTTCATCTGCCTCCTTCATTCAGCACTACAGGTCTTGGATACCTTTGCTTCACCTTTCCTGTTTTCTAGACTTTTCACAACCTTCCTGAACTGACCTGTCCTCCCTTGCTTTCACTCTTATTCAATTGCCACACAAAATGCTGCAAGCTACTTCCTTTGAGATTCATTCCTGAGCAGTTTGAATATTCATGAACATCCCAAGGCCACAAAGGAATTCAGTTTTCACTGCTGCAATATCTGTAAATGTTAACATAATTTCTTTCCTCTTTAAAACAGGTGATTGACAGGGCTCACACTTGCTCATAAAATATACAATTATACCCCAAATGTACAGAACGTAAATTTCAAGATAATTATCTTTTTTTGATTAAATAGGTGGCTATATGTTGCATAGCAGATGCCATGGCTCTCCGTTTAAGGGAATGATCACACTATAAATAATCAGAAAAGGCCAAATGTTTGCATTAAACCAAAGGCTTCCCTTTACTCCAAGCTCATCCATTCAAACCAAAGGCTTCCCTTTACTCCAAGCTCATCCATTTGAACCTATTTTTATCTAAGCAAAGGAGAGGGAGCTCTTGTGCATGAAAGAATGCAGCTCATTAACGGAAAATGTCTCATCCTCTGATGGCTGATGTCAAGCCATGTCTGCTGTTCTGGTGAGTCTGCTTTTGTACAAGAAGCTACCCGAAGGACTTTGCTGGGTCAGCAGTTAAAGGTAATGACATAGTAACTGCAAACTGTTATGTGCTCAGGATGAAAAACATCATGGTGTAGGACGTATAGACTGATAAGGTTTCCTCTTTGTGTAATAGTGGGAGCAATGTTACTCCATGAACATTCATTCCTTGCAAGACGAAATTCAAGCAAGGGTTCAGATTCAATCCATCAATCAATCATGTTTCTTTTAGACAGGACAATCAAAAATTTGTGAAGGAATTTGGGGAAGAGGAAATGCAGGCTCTAACAATAAAGTGAGAGGAACTTATATAAAACAGCTCTTCAGAGACACAATGATAAAAACCTATGAATGGAGGCAAGTGTATTAGCAGACATGATTTGCCAGTGTTTCCTACCTCTTCTCAAACTATGTAAATTGAAGCAGCAAGCAGAGATCATTATATCCTAAAACTTGTGGTATACCCAAAGCTTTTAAAATGCTAACGTATGTAACTAAATAACGGTGGCTATTAGCTTTCCTTTCCCCAGATTAATATTTGCTTTAGACAGTTACAAATGAGCAAGTCTGCTTCCAGAAAGTAAACAAGCAAATCATTCAAATCTAAAAAGAGATTTCTCCATTCAGTTCCTTTGCCTTTTTTTCTTCTCCTTTAAAGATGATGGCGCTGCAGCAAAAGGCAACAAAATCAATTTTGTTGCTTACTGTCTCCCATGATGCCTTTTCCTGGGTATTTTTAGTTGTTCTGATTAAAAATTTACTTCCTATGTACCACTGACAGCACAGTTCATTTCTGTATTAGAGTTTTGTGTATTTCTTTCTACTGTCTTCTGTATTTTCCTATGCCTATCTATAAAAAAACAGTATTTTTATCCTGGCAATCCTTTCAACTCAGCCCAACTTCCTGCACTAAAAAAAGGAAATCTTAAATATAGAGATATCCCACTTTATTGTGAATAACAAAATGAAAATGATGTTCCTAAGGAAAATGCATAAAATGCTGGAATTGGGGTGAAGTTATGATGTTATGTCACATGTGATGGCCTTTCTTTTATGTGACAATTAGATCTAACCTGTGAGCAAGGATATTTAGACCAGTGAGCAAATGTGGAGAGGTAGATGACCAAGGGGCAAAGATAAGCAGCAAAGCTCCAATGGTTTGCGCAGAGGAGAAGTGGTAGCAAGAGATTCCTAAGAATTTTCCAAAGCTGCTCAGGCCCCTCCCCATGGGGTCTCCATGTGCTTCTGTAAAGAAAAATATTGATCCAGATCTCCACAGATGGAAAAGAGCCAGTGTGGTGCAGTGGTTAAGAGCATGGGACTGGGACTCAGACAATTTGGGTTCTAGTCCCCGCTCAGCCATGGAGCCAACTGGGTGACTTTGGGCCAGTCACAGACTCTCAGCCCAACCTACCTCACAGGGTTGTTGTTGTGGGGATAAGATGGAGGAGGAGAATGATGTAAACTGCTTTGAGTCCTTTGTAGGAAAAAGGCAGGATATAAATCGAAACATGCCTACATACATGCATATATACATAAAAAAGTTTGAAGAAAAATATTTCTATCCTGCTTGCCTTCTCTTGGTCCTCCACCCATAAACTACCCCCATCCAAAACTGGTTTTCAATTGAACAGAAAATCTGAAAAACTAATACATTTTTGCCACAAAATCTATTTGTACAGGAATATCTATATCCATTTCTCTCCAGAAATACCTGAACACATTTCATTTCCTTTCTTTTTGTTATTTATAAGAAAGTAGAAGGTGAGGGTTTCATTACACCCAAGTTGTTTGCCTTAGAGGCTCAAATGTCTGATTTAGCCATGACTCTCACTGAAAGACACTGGGTACTGCATTTATTTCTCCTCCTAAACAACCTCAAAAGGCTGTTGCGAGAAGGATAAACAAGGAACGGATATATCTGCAAGTTGTCAACTTTAGGCTGAGGAAGTCCTTCTGGCTTACCTGAGGTGGCCATCTGACAGAATTCTCAGTGGCAATTCTGCGTGATAAGCTAATTCATAAACATGCACAGCTCAAAACCATCAGTGAGGCCATTTTCTCTATCCCTTTAAAGACTTAAAAATGTGGATGTCTGAAGAAGAATTATTTCAGTGATATGATGCATACATGATAGAACAGCTTGCCACGTGGGAAAAGGCTGCCATGAAGAGCAATTAAATGCTGCTACTATTTTAACTGCATGAAAGCCCTGACACCCCAAGATTTTGGATACAATACACAATCTACACACATGATGTCCACTTTCATTCTTTTCTCTTGCAGATGCTTTGTATTCACAGGATTTGTTCTGCCAGATTCTCCATGACTCCTCATAAAACCAGAAGAGTTCTCACTGGTCTTGGCCTTTTTCCGCTTTGTTTTATGGTTCTGGCACTTGTCCATGAGCAATGGTCCATCCTCTAGCATCCAATGTTCCTTCTTTCCTACCTTTGTTCCTTGACTACTTTGTCATTCAAGTTCACCAATTCCAACACATTTTCCATTGTACCAATGCTAATCTTGACCAAGCAGCTATTCTGCTTTCAGCTTGATTGTCTTGAATAATGCTCTCTACTTGGTCTTATGCAAAGACCAATTTTAAATATGACTAAAATAGAAATAGTAAGAACTACTACTAGTAGTAGTATCATCATCACCCACCAACACCTTTTTCCCCAGTCTGATGATGCCTGGACACTGTATGCTTTTTTCACAAGGAAGCATGTACATCTAGACACTTTTCATCATAAGGAAAGAATTCTTTGACTTACTTTGGATGTATGTATTCATCTATGAGGTCAACTTTTTCCACCAAGTCTCCTGCAGTAGTTCGGACTAAATCATAGAAGTCATTTTTGCAGTATTTTTCAGAGGGCAGCCAAAAAGAGATATCGTTGATCAGAGGAGGATATTTGCTGAATGGCTAAACAACAACAAGAACAACATTTGTTATTTATGGAAAGTGCTCCTCTGTGAGTGATGCTGAAATGTAATACAGTTAGCAATTTCAAATTCTGCGGAAAGCAAGGCATTGGATAATATCTAGAAAAACAGAAGCAGAAATAAAATAGCTCTTGATGGACACCTGTCTCTGCCACAATGCAGGTTAGCTCTTGCTGTTTGAGAATCATCCTTATATAAATGCTTGCAGCTGCCTCAGTAGTCACAGGTTGTTGAGTTTGTTTGCTTTTTTCCAATGCCCCTGAGTTTAAAAACTATTTTACAGGTTTTATGCAGAAGTTGGTGAAATGAACACAGGAAAAAAGTTCAGAGCCCATGCACTAACTCCAAAGAGTATGTATATCATCTCATGGAAGCCATTTCCAACATAATGTCATGTCTATGGATTGCTTTTAAAAATTATGAAATCCATTACAAACAGAAAGTTCAGTCATCCAAACAATTTTCCTACACCTGTATTGAGAAAAAAGTGTCCAACATATTTCCTACCCCCTTGAGAAATGTTGCAGTCCCTACATAATGTATCAAAAGCTACACTTTTGAAAGTGCATCTATGAACTCTTAAATTTGTACTAGAAATGGCCAGGATCTGGGGTGGGGTGAGTTAAACTCAAGAGAGAATGAGAATCAATTGACAACTAGAACTCTGCTTCTTAATTGTACTGTAATATTTCAGTTCCTACCCAGTCCAGGGGCTGTGCAGACAATCTTTTAGATCCACACTCTGAACTGGCTTCATAATGAAGTCACAAAATCAATTTAGGATAGATGGGGAAAAAATGCCTTTACTCTTAATCAGCTTTATGATGTCATCAAGAAGCCAAATCTGGTTAGTTTCAAGTAATGTCACAGCCACAAAAATATCCCCAAATGGATGAGACTACAGAATAGAGAGACAAAGAGGATGGAGGGCAAAAGAAACAAAGGACTCTAAAGGGTAAGCAGCAATGAATACATTCAAGAAACAGTATTTCTGGTTCAGCTGTCTGGGAATGCATTTCACACAAACATTCACGCCCATGCACTGATTGTACATGAATGCTTACAAGCAAATACTTGGCACAACCCTAGTTCAAAAGCTGCATGAAGCTCTTAATCAATGTCTTTGATTTAAAGGTGGAATCAGACAGCACTTCTTATAACATTTTAAAGACAATTCAATTTGTTTTTCACACTTCCACAAGTGTACTCAACCTGAATTAGGGCCATAAGACCCAAACACCCAATTTTCTCCATAATATATTTCTAAAAGAGACTCAGTGAGCAGGAGGTGAGTACTTAGCTTTCTTCTTCCCACTGATTATCCCCTATGGATGCTTCCCCACTTTTATTTTTTCAGCCAGTAGGAGAAACAGCCAGGAGGAAAAGGAGAAATGAAGGGGAGACTTGTCAGCCCTGCTCCTGCAAGAGCTTCCCCCAGCCTAGCATTTGCATTAAGATATATATTAGCAGGCATGATATATCATCCTTAAATCAGGGCTAGGGATACCCCATATGTGATAGGACCGATCTAGAGCTGATGGGAGTTGCAGTCCAAAAATACCTTAACCCTCTGTTAAATGTACTGTCAAATGAGCCACAAATATTTCAAGAGTAAACATGCTTCCTCACTTTGTTTTTTCCTTCACAGCAGCTGATGTGTGCTCTGATTAATACAATATATTATCTCAATTAGAAAATATATATTATGCTTGGAAAATGTTTTATGACAGAATAGTGAAATCCTAAGTGAATACCTGATAAAGCAATAAACCTGCAAGAAAGGTAAATTTACAGTGCAGTGATTTATACAGATCTGGCTGCACATGACGCAAACACTTTAATGAATATCTGATAAGGCATACCGTGAGAGTTTTAAATTAACAACCCCACAGCGATTCCAATTGTGAATCACAAATGATTATCCAACTTGTTACATGAATAAACTTGTCAAACAAATTCATCGCCTGTATGGCAATTGCAAAACTCACCCCTCGATAAAGCCATCACCGGGTGCTCTTGATGAAATACCAGTGTCCGTGAAGGATGTTTCCACTGTTGCATCAGTGCCACTGTTGCATGTTAAAGAGCCTCAACAGATAATGTGGGGCCACAAAGCTCATGTGAACTGGGTGATTTATATGATCAGAGTAATAAAGCACTAGTATGATTATGGTTGCATTTTTATGGCAAAAAGTTATCTATGCCGCTGTATACATTTGCATACCTCAAAATGTGTTGAGCCTAAACTATATAGGAAATGTATATATCACACTCATACACACAGCATACCATTCTCTTGCTTTATCTAAAAAGTAATTTTTATTCCACCTGCCACTGCCCCATCCTAAGCCTCCCAAGGTGGACTACAGTCATAAGGTCATAATGTAATACCATTAATAAAATAAATAAAGCAAAACAGGGACCCAATAATCCCCTAAGAGCCAATAAAACAGGTATGAGAAACCTTTCTCTGTCCAAGGGCCAATTTCAATTTTGGAAAAGCTCTTGGAGGCTGCATTCCAGTGCATACAGGAGACAGAGGCAGAAGCAAAAGGAGTGGGGCCAAAAATACAACTCCCCACTCAATTTAGAATATTTGGGCCCAGAATTCAAGATTCCCTACCCTGGCAACAAAACCTACCTCCCAGAAGAGTATCAAAAAAACCAGAAGAAGAAAAATCTCAATTAGAACTTGGCTTGGTGGCTTATCAGAACGGTTAGTGCAGCTTGGACAGTGTGGTTTTTACAAATGTTAGGTTTGTTGGGCTTTGCAATATTGCTAGATTTCTTGGATAGAGGGATTATAGCAAACCAAGGACATGGCCAAAAAAAATGAAGTCTTGGAGTAGAAAGTTCCATAATCTGGAATGTTAAAAACAAGTATGTTTCAATTCTGCATTCTCAATAATGCACACTATGCTCATGGGGATCAGAAGAAAACTGGTATCAATAAAACAAAGAATACAGCTCAACAGGTAACAGATTAAACTGGCTTGTAATAAGAAGCCCAGAAAAAATCTGTGGCAGGCTATGCTAATGGCATAAAAATGAACAGAAACATTTTTAGACAGAAACCATACCATCATTCATTTGTGGAAATTTCATTACAAATGCATACATTTTGGAAAGCTAGCATACCACAGCAATTAACATTCTGAACCATGAACCATAAAGTTCCTAGTTCAAATTTCACCAGTAGCATCTTCCAGGGATAAGGTGGAATATTCATTGTGTTTTTCTTTCCTTTTTCTTTGGCAATGTATATGAATAAGCACTGAAATTAATTGCTTCCTCAAATGAAACAAAATCCATGCAAGATGTAAAACATGCCAGTATTGAGCAATGCCAAGACCAATATTGCTGTTTTAAATGTAAAGCATCAAGCACAACAAGATTCACTCTCTCGTCTTTTGGCTTGATTAAACAGAAAAACCCCACTGTTTGCATAAAGCTGAAAAGATTTTCTTTTCTGATAATATTAAGATCCACCAATCTGGAGAAATATGGTTCATGATGCTAAATTATGTTATTATGCAAAATTGCTGCAGTACTCAACAACACAGCCTTTATAACACCCTCTTTACTCCAGTGACTAAGTGAAAATAATAGTTTTGTGAAGTCACCAAGTCAGCTTCTAACGGTAGTCTTCATTTTACCTCTCCAAGTATCTAGAAAGTCCAGTTATTGGCATGCTCCAATGAGGGTGCAGACTGCAATGCTTACTACAAGCTATGCCAGCAGCCTGGTCCTTACCAGAATGGAGACTCAATTGGACTTGTAGCTCTACCTGCTACCTATTCCTGCTGCTACCAGTCATTCAGAATCTACTCTTACTAACTTATTTTGTGGGTCATTCCCACCTGAGGCAAAAGGTTGGAACAAACTCTTTAGAGAGATTTAACCTAAATGTGGAGGTTGACTCAACATTTCTCGTATCCTGTAAAACTTAGCCAATTTCAGCTGTATTAGTCTTGTGCCCATACTCTTGAGAATAGGCTGAAGCACCATCACTGCATCTCAGCAAAGCCTCATTCCTTGCCCTGCAGAATGCCACTAAACACTGACTCCAAGGTCCATCTTCTGTCCTCTGAGCCACAGCAACATGGAAATAACTGCACCAGTTGCAAGGGCAAAGGGAGGAGGGTACTTCATTAATTCCACCTCTAGACCTCAGAGTGGGTTTCTGAAGTCAGAGCTGGACACCTACTTCTACGGTTGGCTAAGCACTGAGTTAACTACTGTGGGTTTACTTTTTGGGATTATAATAAAGTCTAATCTTTATGTTGTATCTATTCATTAATGAGCTCTTTGATGAAGAAAGTCTCAGAGGAAAAACACTGAATCCATGCAGGCGAAGAGATCATTCTGCACTGCTGTTCATTTACTTTTAAAACACATCAAGTCTCCTATTGCTTAAGAAAGCATTAAGAAAAATTGCACTTGGATTTCAGTTTGCCTTTTTAAAAAGGACAACATTAGCTAATAGCAGAATTATGCCACTGACAATAGTCATGTTGAAATCCTAAAACCTTACTAAAGTTATCATCTGCAACAAGTTCCAATGAAGTAAGAAGTCTACTGTGTCCAGATGTTAGACCACTGGTTTTCATCAGGCCTTCCCAGCTTAGTGCCTTCCATTTACGTTCGGATGGCCCCACACTGGGGAAAGTTGCTTTTCATACTTTCTATGGATATCTATGTTCTTTTGGGTATCTTCCAACAAATATTCAAAAACATGCTTTTGCTCAGGATGTAACAATGTAATCAGCTGTATCTGATATCTAAATAAAATCACAGACGATGATGATGAAGTCAAGTTATGAATTGCCCTATAGGTGGAGCTGACATTTCACAACTGCCAAGGTTATCAGAGCATGGATGGCTGAAGATGGGGTGTGACTATCCAGCTAGAGTTGTAGCTGATGTTCCAGCCTAAACTGGTAAATGAAGCTCCAAATCACAAAAAAGTACTTTTGCTTC